TCAATCAGCAAACATTAACTAAGTGTGTCCTATGTGCCAGGCTCAGTGCTAAATGCAGTAATGAGCTCAGTATAGTAGAATGGAAAGAACACTGGGTTTTGAGTTGGAGGAAGAACTTGTCATAAATCCCATCTCCCTTATGTGAGACTTTGGGCAAGTCACTTAACTTCTGTAGACCTCCATTTTCTTGACTGTAAAACAAGGGAGCTAGATCAGATAATTTTCTAAGGTCCCTTCCAGCTCTAGACCTGATGTTCCACAGAATTAGGCTTGGGCTACACTGGATTCCCATCAACCCAAAGATGACAGGCACAGATGGGAGGGAAACACTCCACTCCCTCCATATCATAGGATTTTGAACTGGAAGGGGTCTTAAAGATCATCACGTTCAACCCTTTTACTTTTCAGAGAAACTAAGGCTCAGAGTGGAAAAGCAACTTGCCCAATGTCACCTGTAGGGTCAGCTGCAGGGCTGGGATTAGGACTGAGGTCTCCTGATGCCCATCCGACTATCTCTTCATTCTACTGCTTGGTTCTAATTAAAGTTTGACCACAGGCAAGTCACTTAATCCCACTGGGTCTAATTCTTCATTGCTAAAATGAGGGAGCTGGATTTGATGATCTCTACTTCTACCCTTAGTGTTGCCTACCTTTTATCATTTCACCATTCCATTATCTTGGACCTCAACCAGTGATATCCAAGGGTCTATAAGGTATCCAGTTATGTCCTAGAAGTCATTGAGAAACCATGGGCATTGCCTTTGACTTAAGGAAAGTCACTGATGCCTTCCTTCTTCAGGGCTAAAAGGGTTTAATGAGGGAGCCTCTGAGGCTCTTGAGAAATGTGTGCTGAATGGAATTGTCTGCAAATGCCCCATAGAGAGCTCATAAAATACAGACTGACAAATAAGCTGACATTGACCATCATTTAACTTATCCTAGAAACTCAGAGCTGGAAGAGAACAAAAAGACATTTGTGAAAACCCTGGCCAAGACACTACTAACAGGTGCTTACCATGGAACACACTAGCTCACAAGGCAACTGATTTCAGTTGTTCAACAATAGATTAAGATGTCCATCCTTTTATCTAGCAGAAATCTGCCTCCTATTACCTTGCCCTCCTCCCTTCACCCACTTTCAACTCTTTTCTGCCTTCTAGGACCCCTGAGAATAAATAAGCTTCCACATGAAAATCTTAGAATTGGAGGGAATGTCAGGGGCCCTGGTCTGTTGTGTCTCCTCTGAGGCCTCTCATGCCTCTCACTTCAGGGCAGTAAGAGATCTGCTGGAATCCCGACTCTTTCCCAACTAGGCTGTTATAGCTTCTCAGACAGCCTCATTAAAAGGCCCAGACCATAGGGGCCAGTTTTAAGGGCAGATTTAGTGTAGTAAAGGTGTGGGAACAGCATGTCTCATCAGCCAAGTTGGCCAGAAACACCCTCAGGGGTATTGTTCAAGCACTGAACTTCATTCTAGTTTAATCTGAAGATTAAAAATAAATCAGACCATATTGCTCACCCTGGCTAGGGTGACTAAAGGGGATGGTGGAAGGGAACAAGCATTTATTAACTACCTACTATGTGCCAGGCACTATGCTAACTGCTTTACAATTATCACTGCATTCTCATTAAAGGAATGACACAAGAAGGAACAGGCTAACCAATGCTCACAAAGTCAACTGTAATTCAACCAGCTCATAGGCACCTTAAGAGAGGGAAGAAGAAACAAAAGCCAGAATCAATAATTTTCATTTTTTAGTTTACTTTAATTCTATTGTTTACACACACAATCCACTGTGTATTTAACAGCGTCAAGAGCCATTCCTTAAATACAATCTGGTACTCAGACTATAACAGATGTGCCTGGAGAATAAGGCTCCCAAGTGATTGAATCTCAGTACTGGAAGACAAAACAATGCCATGGTTTTGTGACCCAGACACCCTTGGAAGGCTGTTTCTCAGCACCTGATGACAATATTTACCTTTCAACATATACAACAAGGCTGAGTTTGGAACATGAGAGAGACACAGACCCAAAATGGCATCCAAGTGAAGTACTCTTGCCTTTTGCCCAAATGATGTCCTGATCTCTCCCACCACATCTTCCTCTTTGACAACTGTAGGCAGAAAGGGGCCCCTGGAGGAGGGGCCCCTGAAAAGCCATAAGGATTCAGAGAAATGGAGCCTTAGGGGTCCAATAGACTCTGATTTTTTTGTAAGGCTTGCCAGACAGAAGTGGGAAAAGGGACCATCAAGGATGGTAACTTAACCAAGATGTGAGCTTCCTACTACAAAACTACTGAAAAGCACTGAATAAATAATTGTTGAATGCTGAATCAAGATGTTCTAAGTCTCAGCCTAGAAGAGGACAAATGTGTAGTTTGTTCCACCATAAAAAGGATTAAGACAGAGGATCCTGAGGGCAAGGGGTGATTATAGCTCATACAGGAGAACCAAATTATTTCCTGCTGTCTTAAACTGACTATGTATAACTGACTCTCACAACTCACACTGAATAAGACACTGAACCCAAATCAGACCAAGATGATGAGAAAAACATTCCAAAATTTAAGTCTGACAAACAAACTTCCTGAGTAATAAAGTATATTTGTGACAGTTACCTATAGATGCTGAAGTTAGAACCTGAAAAACATTTCTCAGTTTTAGGTGGCAGGAAAAGAGGGAGGTGCCTTTGACAAACCTGGTTGGTTCAAATTTCACAAGGGGAACTGGATTACTGTCAGGGCCCATCAAGTCCTGCCAACACTTCCTACACACAATGCAATCCCACTAGCCAGAGTCACCATGAGCGTAATTACATCTATTATTTCATTCATTAACAATTAACCTGACACTCTGGGGCAGGAACACATAACTTAAATATATCTTTACAGGAGATTTGCAGCCACTGCTTTCTAGAGCCCATCATAAAAGCTTGAGCTACGGCAGTAAAATGTAGTGTTCATTACTTAATACTATTGCTGAGGTTAGAACTGAGGATAAAGAAGCTTCTTAAGACTGGCTTTCTTCAAGTGACTAAAAGGTTTAATGAGGCAGCCCATGAGTGAAGGTGACCAGGTTATTACAACTTTTGGGTGCTCCACTGGGAAGTGGTGACAATATTACTAACAAACAACAAAGCTGCAATCTGATCTAGAGAAAATGAGTTTTAGCAATATAGACAGAATGGAAGGATGGGGGCAAAGCTTAGAAACATAAAATGTTTGAGTCAGAAGACACTTTAGAACACAGACTAATAAGACAGCATCAGAGCAGAAGAAACCTTAGAACATGGACGATTACAGGGAGAAAACAAATGCCAGAACACAAAACAAGAAGGCAGTATGACATAGGGGAAAGAGCAAAGGATTTGAAATCAGAAGTCATTCCAATGTCCTGAACTAAGTGTCCCCATTTGTAAAATGAGGGATCCTCATAGGGTCATGATGAAAAGTACCTTGTAAACCCCAAAATGCTATGTAAGTTACCATTATTATAATCATCATTACTATTTATTATTGTTGTTATTAAGCACAAAGAATGTCCGAGCCAGAAAGGATCTCAGAGAGATAGAGAGAACTGATTCAAATTTATACTGCTAAATGGTCAAAGGATATGAACTGGCAGTTTCCAGAAGAAGAAATCTAAGTTTTCAATAACCATATGAAACAATGCTTAAATCACTAATAATTGGAGAAAAGCAAAATAAAACAAAGTTCTCATCTAACACCATAGAATCGATAGGTCAAGTTGACAAAATGGAAAATGACAAATTTTCTGGAGAGGCTGTGGGAAAACAGGTACATTATTGCACTGTTCAGTGCAGCTGTGAACTGGTCCAGTCATTCTGGAAAGAAATCTGGAACCACACCTAAAAAGCTATTAAACTGTGCACACTCTTTGACCCAGCAATTCCGCTAACATGCCTATACTCCAAAGAGGTCAAAGAAAGAAGAAAAGGATCCATATGTACAAAAAGTATTTATAGCAGGTTTTTTTTGGTGGTAATGAATTAGAAACTGAGGGGGTACCCACCAATTGGGGAATGGCTGAGTAAGTTATGGCATATGTATGTGATATAATACTATTGTGCTATGAGAAATGATGAAAGCGATGGTTTCAGAGAAACCTAGGAAGGCTTGCATGAACTGATGCAGAATGAAGTGAGCAGAACCAGGAGAATAATTTATACAGTAATAGCAATATTGTAAAGATAATCACTTTTGAAAGGTATAGAAACACTGGTCAACAAAATGACCAATCACAATTCCAAAATGAAACATGTCACTCATCTCCCGATAAAGAGGTACTCTGAATTCAGAGTACAGATTGAGACACTTTTTTTTTGACATGGCCAAATGTGAGAAATTGTTTTGCTTACCTATACATGTTTGTAACATGTCTGTTTTGTTTTTCTTGATTTCTCAGTTGGAAGAGGGGCTAGGGAGAGGTATCAGGAAGAAAATGTAGATCTGAAAATAAAATTTAACTGAAAACCAAAAGAAGGCTCATAGAGATCTACTCCAAATCTTTGTTTTACAGATGAGGAAATCAAGGCCCAAAGAAGGAAAGGATTTGCCAAAGGTCACAAAGCGAGTTAGTGGAGGAGCCAGGACTAGAACACAAGCCTTATAGTTAGGGTATTTTCTAAATGCACTGGCTCCCTGTCACTACTCATAATGGGGAATACTGTTTTTCAACACTAAAGAGCATATCATGATTTTTCTTCAGAAACAGAAAACTTCAATATATGGCAGCCAATCTGCGCATTTTTTACCTGACAAAGGTACTCTTTATATCACTAAGTGATATTCAAGAAAATGAAATTTTAGTACAAAGACTAATTCTGGCCAGATCATCTTGAATCAGCTAATAAACCTCTTAAGATTAAGTTACCTTCCATTCTGTACAATTTTTGACCTGCAACTTATTTAACACCACAAGCCACAATTTTTGGTTTCTCAAAAGTCAGTTATTGCTCAAAGGAAAAAAAGACAAGAAACAAAACAATTTAAATTTATAACAAAAGACATGACTGAGGGGTTGTAAACCTTAAGAACATCATTTAAGGCTTTAACCAACCACCTAGTTACTGCCAGCAATTTTACAGAATTTAAAGAAACAAGCATTCTCACAGTTTCAGTAGAACAAGGACAGACACTCACTTTCAGTGAATGCACAAAAGTTATCTAACACTTTTGTCTTTAAGGCACTCCAGTTTAAAAGGCAGTCAATCAGAATCTGGCTGCAATATTTACAATCAACTGAAGAAATGTAAATATTACAAGGAGATTGTTTTTCCAGGCTTTTTCCCCCCACGGGCAAGATCCTAGCCTGAAAGACTCATGCAAAGAGTATCCAAGGCAAACGTTTAAATAATATTAAGAGTCACTCAAATGAAAAGACAATTGGCAGCTAAGAGACAACAGAGGATAAAGACAGTTCTGGGGCCCTTAACCTTGCATCCGGGCATAACCAGCCCTTCAGCATGTATCTGAGTCCTGGTCCCCCAAAGACCTAAAAAACAAAGGAGAAGTTCCAAGTCAAGGTCAGACAAAGCCCAGGCCAATCTGGTTAAACAGTACAATTCGTGGTCAGAGCTATTGCCCCTACATTAAATGATCCCAGACAGCTTCTTTTGGGGGATGTAAGATGTTTTTCATCTTTTCCCTTGCTGTGAGACCGTCAAGTTATCATGCATTTGCCAAAAATTGGATAGGAACGAACTCATTCCATCCACCCTCCAGCCCCTGTCCTTACTAAAACGGTCAAGTGAGATAGCATTGATAATTGAACAAAGATACCTAATTTAAAAAAGGAGATAGATTAACCTTCTTGTCCTCCCTAATTTTTCTTTTATTTCTTGTAACTATCTTGCTTCAAATTCAGACTGGTGCTCTGAGGAGGAAGTCCAGGAGAAAAGGGTTTCAAGTACCAAAACCCATATGTTCCATACCAGCCCACCAACCCAAACAGGGTACCAAACACTTTCTGGGACAGGTCATGGAAATAAACAGCAGTGCAAAGGAACATCCAAATCCAGATGTATGCCAAGCAGCCCAAGGCAATGACCAAGGAAGTGAGAGTGAAGTGCAGGCTGTGGCTCCTGTCCATCTTGACTCTTGCAGAACAGCCATCTCCTCCACAATGACCAGAGCACAGTAGGTCAGAAGGAAGGAATGGCCAGAGATGTCAAAGCCGTGCCAGAATCCGCCACCTTTACGGCAGTCCTCCTTGCTGTTATACTCCTTTCGGACACTTTCCAGGGCAGGTGATTTGTAGCAGCTGCCTGTGAAGTGTTCAATGTGCAAGAAACACTTGTGCTGACATACCAGATCGCTGTCCCCACCAGAAGTATGCACAGCCGCTTGAGGACTACACCAGCTTTCCCCGTCAGATGATAGTTGGTAAGGGCAATGAAAGGCAGGAGGAGAATGAAGGTCCAACCCCAGGCCACTTTGACAAAATACCTGCCAGAGAAGAAAGCAGAAATAGAGGGATAAGGAGGGAAAAAAATATAGCCATTAATTCAAGTCTTTCAACTCAGAATGTAGAATATCAGAGCTGTAAAGATCATTTAATCCATCTAACCCCTTCCCTCTTTTTCTTTACAGATGGGGAAACTGAGACTCAGGGAGGTGGTTACTTGTCCAAGGTCACATAGCTAGTGAGTGCTATAGATAATAAAAATTCTGAGTCTACCACTTACCAGCCATGTGAACATAAGCAATTCATTTCACTAATCTGAGTCTCCATTTTCCCTTTTATAAAGTAGGGATAACAATTACTTTCATTACCTACCTGATAGTGCTATTGTAAGAATGAAATAAGAAACAGCATGGTATACTGCAGTAGACAAAAAAAAAAGCCCACTGGACATGGAGTCAGGAGACACAGGTTCAATATTGACTATGACACCAGAATTGTAGGTTTAGAATTATAAGGGGACTAGGATCATTAAGTCCACCTCCCTCATTTTACAAAAAACACTGAAGTGAAGTGACTTGCCCAAGGGCACATGACTAGGAAGGGTCAGAGGCAGGAGTTGAACTCAGGTCTTCCAAATCTCAAGTCCAGCATTCATCCTCTATGCCATGCTGCCTTACCTGGTATAACTACGGGCAAATCACTTCCTCTCTCTGAGGGTCAATTTCCTCATCCAATAATATTACTTGTGCCTTACCAGAGGATGCTTTGTAAATGTCAAAAGGTTACATAAAAGTAAGTTTTTATTATAAAATACAAGAGGCATTGCGTAAATTGTAAAGTGCATTAGAAACATGACCTGCAACAATTATTTTCAACATTATTATTTCTATTATGCCAATACAGCCTTCTCTAAGTAAAAAGCATAATGGGAACCAGTTAAATATTCTGCACGACTGTCAACAGCACCTAAGACATAGAAAAGGCCTGCTGAATTAGGGTTAGCCCCATGGGAATTCATTCATCTCACTAGTCACAACAAAAACTGGAACAAAGTGGCAGAAGTTAAGGATCTCCCCAAAACAACAAGAAATTGTCTCACTGGCAACACCCAGGAAAGGTGGGCCCCTTTCCCTAACAAGACTATCAACCCACAGGCCAAACGGACAGTGGGAATGTGTCCCCATTTCTAATCAACCCCTTTCACAATCTATTCTTAGACCAGTTTCTCAAGGTGGATGTGCAATCCAAGGGCACAAGATCAACTAGGGCCAGCACCCAACCAGTCTCAAAGGTTTTTGACATTGCCCAAGAAATATAAAGTTCCAAGTCAATCATTGCTACATGCCAAAGTTCCAGGGCTGATTAATGAGCACTGATTGCTTGGTGCAAGAATTTGGCTCTCGGGGCAGCTAGGTGGTACAGTGGATAGAGCACTGGCCCTGGATTCAGGAGGACCTGAGTTCAAATCCAGCCTCAGACCAAACATTTGGCACTTAACTAGCTGTGTGACCCTAGGCAAGTCACTTAACCCCAACTGCCTAAAAATAAAAAAAAATAAGTTAAGAATCTGGCTCTCAGCAGCTGCCAGAGAGGGAAAAAGCTGAAAAAATCCTGAAAATCAAAGAAACAACCGGTTGCTTGCTGCTGGTCTTGGGTGCTTCCCTGAAGTTTGTTCGGTTGGGAGACTTGCCCCAAAGCCACGGTCACACTCTAATGAGAAGGAACTTTACGGCGGGCGACTAAGGTTTCAGGAAAATCCAGGGGAAAGTTCACTGGGTACAGCTGAGATAGGCAGACCTGCCAGACCCACGGATGTCTCCCGCCCAGAATCATCCTCGATTCAGGGGCTGCACAATCACACACCAATAATCGCTGAAGGTCAAGTGCACGGATCCCCAGACCAACTTGTCCAAACCCTTTTTTACCAGACCAAGAAACTGGCCCACATTCAGGCGAAGTGACTTGCCCCGAGGGTAATCAGACCAATAGTGACTGTCTCGATGGGGGGGGGTGGAGTGGGGAGAGGGTGACCACAACACTCACTTTCCTTCCGTTCCCAAGAAGGGGTCTGGAGTCGGAGCACCTGGGTTCTATTCCGAGCTCCACTTGGAGGACCTTGGGGGAGTCACTTCCCGTCACCTGGGCCTCAATTTCCTCATCTGAAAAAGATGGGACCTGCGGAAGAGGGATCTCCAAAGTCCCTTCCAGCTCTAGGGCCAATGACGAGGCAGCCAGGACGCCAGGCTTCGGCCGTTCTCACCGACAAGCCCCGGCCCACCCCACCCCCCTCCACGTCCCACAGCGATCGGGTCGGAGCCTCGCTATCGCTTGACAACCCCATCTCCCATTCGACATCTTCATGTCGCGATAGACACTCCCTACACCACTCTCAGAAAGGGCGCTCTGGGATGACCCGACCCATTCTCGTGCCTCTCCCAGCCGGGGAGCCCTCCCCTGCCTCGATCTGTTGCGACTGACCCACCAGGTCACGACCCAAACCGAAGGCGAAGACCACACTCACACGTTGAAGATGTTGCGCTTGCTGCTGAGGTAGCTCGGGGGCAGCGGGGAGTACTCCTTGACTAGAGAGCCGCCCAGCATGAAGGCGACCAGCGCCCAAGGCAGATAGCGCCGCACGGCCGCCCGCACCAGCGTAGTCCGGAGGAACCAGGAGCAACGTTCCAGGTACTCCATGCCGGCCACCATCTCCGTCCCGACCGGGGAGCGTGCCTACTCTGCGCCCTCCCGGCCACCGTCCTGGGGGCCCCACCCCCGCTCGCCCCAGGGCCGCCCCTCCTGCGCCAGCGTGCGCCAGCCCCGCCCTCTCCGTCCCTCCACTCCGCCCGCCCGCCGCTCCACGCCCTCCAGCTCTGAGCGCGCTCTGGCCCCACCCGCTGAGCTGCTCGCGTGGCCTATGCGCAGCCGCGCAGATTCTCCAGCCTTAGAGGAGGAAACCCTCGGACTCCCACCCCCAGCAGAGCAAAAGGAGTTCGAATTCTGACTCTGCTCTAGGTGCCGAGGTCCAGGTGCTGCTGAAAAGTGCCTCAAGTTGGGCAGTGAAGCTAGGGGAAGGATATACACAGCCCTACCTGTGAAAGCTTCTGGGAGAATGAGCAAAATTCTGAGCTAAGAGACAGGATGCGGCTTACCTCCTACCTGCAAGCCTAGCCCAAGCATCCTCACTCGCTTTATCTCCTTGGTTGTTATTTACAGCCGCTCTGGCAGGAGTCCCTGTACTGATGTGGAAGGGAGGGCGCAATCCTGGGGTCCCTATACTGATGGGACACACACATGCACACACCAGCTGAACCTCTAACCTGCAAATAGGTTGGGAGCAGAGCTAGAGCCAGACCCATGCTGGGTCTTAGGCAGATGAGGACAGGGCATGATTTAAGGGGCTCTGCCTGCGCCGTCCCCCTCACTTTCTCTGCCCTCACCTCAGGCCTGATCTGAATAGGGATTCAGACCAATAAATCTGGCTTTCCTGACAATCTTGCTTTCTCTGATTTATTTTTTAAATTTAAATATTTTATTCTGTTGGAAATTGAGAGGATGCCCATCAATTGCGGAATGGCTGAGCAAGTTGTGGTATATGAATGTAATGGAATACTATTGTGCCATAAGAAATGATGAACAGGCTGACTTCAGAAAAGCCTGGAAAGACTTATATGGTCTGATGTTGAGTGAAGTGAGCGGAACCAGGAGAACATTGTACATAGTAACAGTCACACTGTGCAATGACTGACTTTGATAGACTTGGCTTTTTTCAGCAATGCAAGAGTCTAAGACAATTCCAAAAGACTCATGATGGAAAATGCTATCCACATCCAGAGGAAGAACTATGGAGTATGAATGCAGATGGAAGCATACTATTTGCTCTCCTTTTCCTTTGTTGTTTTGTTTTTATTGCTTCATTGTTGTGGTTCCTCCCATTAGTTCTAATTGTTCTTTACATCATTCCTAATGGGAAAGTGTGCTTAATATGAATGTATAACTAGAGCCTATATCAGATTGCATGCTGTCTTGGGTGGGGGGAAAGGAAAGGAAGGGGGAGAAAAGTTAAAACTCAACATTTTATGGAAGAGAATGTTGAAAAATAAAAATTAATTATTTTTTGAAAAAGAAAGATTGCTAATTTGACATAAGCCAATCAAGAATTCTTGAAAGAGTTAAAGAAAGGCATAAGAGTGGTAGAGAAAAAAGAGAGTAATACAAGAAATTATGAAAAGAAAATTAACAGCTTGGTAAAAGAGGCACAAAAAAAGTTGAAGAAAATAACATCTTAAAAAACTAAATTGGCTTAATGGTAAAAGAGGTACAACAATTCACTGAAAAAACAGAATTGGCCGAATGGAAAAAAGAGGTACAAAATCTCAATGAAGAAAATAAGTACTTAAAAATTAGAATTGGGCAAGTGGTAGCTAATGATTCTATGAGATATCAAGAAACAATAAAACAAAGTCAAAAGATGGAAAAACAGAACAAATGTGAAATATCAGAAAAACAACTAACCAGGGAAATAGATCAAGAAGAGATAATTTAAGAATTATTAGACTATCTGAAAGTCATTATCGAGAAAGAGTCTAGACATCATATTTCAAGAAATTATAAAGGAAAATTGCCCTGATACCTTATATCCAGAGGGTAAAATAGAAATTGAAAGAATCCACCAATCACTTCCTGAAAGAGATCCAAAAAATAAAACTCCGAAGAATATTATAGCCAAATTCCAGAGTTCCCTGGTCAGGGATAAAATATTGCAAGTAACCAGAAAGAAACCATCCAAATATCATGGAGCCACAGTCAGTGTTACACAAGATTTAGCAGTTTCTTAAAGAAGCAGAGGTCTTAGAAGATGATATTCTGCATGGCAAAGGAGCTAGGATTACAACCAAGAATCACCTATCCAACAAAACTGAATGTAATTCTTTAAGGGAGAGGTGGAATGGATATTTAATTAGAGGAATTTCAAGTATTCTTAGTGAAAAGACCAGAGCTAAATAGAAAATTTGATGTTCAAACATAAGACTCATGAGAAGCATTAAATGGTGAACATGAAAGAGAAATCAAAGGTACTCAATAAGGTTAAACTGTTTACATTCCTATATGGCAAAATGATACATGTAACTCCTAAGGGCAATGAAAAGAAGTTTACATAGACATAGGGCATGGGAGGGTGTCAATTATATTTGAATGATCTCCAAAAACAAAGGGGTGAGAAAGAGGGATGCACTGGGAGAAGGGGGAAGGGAGAGGTAGAAGGGGGAAATTTTTCTCAAAATTCTTTTTCTTTACAATGTTGGTCTTCTTATATAGATTGTTCTCCTGGTGAGCGCACTTCACTGTTCATCAACCCAAGATTCTCTGAAACCATATATTTTTAAAATCTCTTAAAATGCAATAATATTCCATTATATTCATATACCACAATTTGTTCAGCTATTCCCCAGTTGATGGACATCCCCCATCAATTCTTTGATTCTAGTTCTTTTCCTTTCCCTTTTAATCCCCATTCAGGATCTGGAAGATTGTTTTGTTCAAAAAACTAAAAATTCCTTCCCTGACATTATTTTCCCTCTTATTCCCCCCCACCCGCCAATTTGTTTCTGTGTTAAAGTGTGATTTATTTCTACACCAAACTCTTTTATGTGTGTGTATGTCCGTCCAACCTTCCTTTTTCTATTTCAGATAAGAGTGAAAATCATCTGATGACTTTCCCTTCCTACATGTTCATATACTCTTCTCACACAGCCTAATTATGAGAAGTAGCAAATTTCACTCCCTTCTTTCTTTTTTCTACACTACTAAATTACTTTTATCCTCCTTTCTCTTTCATCTCTGAAAACCCTCAGAAATGAACCAATCCCTTCACCACTACCACCACAAGCCCTCAGCCTCTATTTTTCTTATTTAATTCTCTCAATACTTTTTGAAGACATCAAGGGTTCTAGTATTAAGGGTTGCCAGACTTTTTCTGCAAATGTCCAGATAGTAAAGATTGTAGGATTTGGGGACCAAAAGACAATATCAAGGATTATGTAGGTACTTATATAATGAGAAAAAATTTCCAGAAAATTTTTACTGATGACATTCAAAATATAATAAAAACAATAATTAAGTATAATTTTGGGGGGATACAGGTCTACTAATGAGAAGAATGGACCTTTTGGGGAGAGATAACATTTCACTTATTTGGGGGGTCCAACTTTAGTGCTCCCTATCATCAAAACTGATTTCATGCTGATTTGTATGGAGACTTTATTTGTTTCATCTTTAAAAATGTCTTTCATATAGATAGATACAACAAATTCTGAGATCAACCCATGAACATACGATTTTAACTGAGCTGAAAAGTTAATAGTATTAAACAAATTTATTCTCTCTGGACACATTTCTTCAGTTACTGTAATCAAACCAAATTTAATTAACTCACCATAGTAAACTGCTTTCTTTGCTTGGCTAACAAATGAAACAGTCAGAAACTTACTTTGGTTGTTACTTTATTTTCATTTTTAAATTTTTGTCAAGAGGTTCTGTTGTGATGAGATATGCCTTTTAAAATTTTCTCATTTTTCTGACCATTGCTTTCCTGTGAGTTGGGAATATTGTGATGAGTGCTTTGTCTGGTAATGTTGACAAGTATTGTATTCTTTAAAAAATGCACACAAAGACTGCACAGCTACAGGTCACAGCCTAATAAACACAATGTTTTGCCATCTAATTTAATAGCAAAATAATCTACATTTCACTGTACCATAGAAGCTCAACATTCAAATTCCATTTTTCTTGTTTTGACCTGATGCATATGCATTGGTCATAAGAATAATAATAATAAAATTTTGAGGTATAGTGATGAGCACGACACTCAACATTCTGTTGAGTAGTAACTACATCACTGCAGTTTGTAGTACACCAAGCTGCAGCCCCCTTCTCTGTCACCACTATTCAACTCAGCCCTGGTACCATGAAAGCAGCTTTAGACAATACTTAAATAAATGAACGTGGCTGTATTTCAATAAGGGGCAGCTAGGTGGCACAGAGTGCTCAGCCTAGAGCCAGGAAGACTCATTAAAGAGTTCAAATCTGTCCTCAGATATTTACTTAGCAGCTGTGTGATCTTGGGCAAGTCACTCAATCCTGTTTGCCTTAGTTCTTCATTGGTAAAATGAGTTGGAGAAGGAAATGGCAAACCATTCCAGCATCTTTGCCAAGTCACACACAACTGAAACAACTGAACCACAACAAACATATCCCAATAAAATTTTATTTATAGATACTGAAATTTAAATTTCTTATCATTTTAATGTTTCATGAAATATTATTCTTCTTTTGATTTTTTCAACCATTTAAAAGTATAAAAACTATTCTTAGCTAATAAGCCATACAAAAACAGGTGGTAGAGCAGATTTGGCCCATGGGCCATAGTTTGCCAGCTCCTGTGTTTTGAAGAGACAATTGTTTCTTCTTTTCCTATTAAATTTAGCAATAGCTCATCATACAGCCCTTTCCAGTGACTCAAATAAATTAACCTTTCTAGGTTTCTCTTTACTTTTGTGTTTGTATTTCAAAGGTTTTACTCAGCCTTGGTCTTTTGATCAGAAATTTTAAAAAGTTTTCTTTTCTATTAAAAGTCCATTTTCACCCCCTCGTGCCCATGTGGATTATATTCAGCTTTGCAGGGTAAGGTACTCTGGTACCTTATGTAAACGTGTATCTCCTGCTTTATGGAATATTGTATTCTAAGATCTCTTCTTATTTATAGTAGAAGCTGCCAGGTCTTGTGTGAGCCTGA